TAAGTAGGCAGGTAGGTAAGTAGGTAGGTAGGTAGATAGGTAGGCAGGCAGGCAGGTAGGTAGGTACGTAGGGAGGAGGCAGGCAGGCAAGGAGGCACGGGTGGCTAGGTAAGTACATAGGTAGATAAGCAAGATAAGCAGATAGGGCGACCAGGGGTACACATGCGCACGCATAATCAGATGCATATGCATATACACATACAAATACATGGAAAAACATCAACATATGCATATCCATGTAGATAAACGATTACATGCAGAAATGTCTTTACTGCATATGAATGTACATGTATGTGCATGTATATATACATACATATATATATATGTATATGTGTATGTATGTATATTCATAAGAATGTAAAAATTTGTGTACATATACATACATGAGAATATATATATATGTATATATATATATACATATACATATACATACATACATACATACATACATACATACATATATATATATGTATACATATGTAAAGACATCTGTCGCTCGCTCTTTCTCTCTGCGAAAGGAAGGTGTATGTAAGAGAAAAGTTGACATTCCGCGATAGGGCCTTACAATTCAGGCACCGCTCGTTTCCTTACAACTCTTACAAATCAATGGCCCCTCCAGCTTTCAACAACATGCCGAGGCATAATCAACAAAGAAATGGCATAGAGTATTCTCGAAAACTTTCGGGAGGGATGCCCACTGGAAACTGAGCGGAGTTCTATCCACGGCCCCTGGTGTTGCGAAGCGATCGCCCTTGCTGACAGTAAAGGGCGAAGAAACGTTGTAAAGGAGGCTCAGAAACCTGAAAATGCATTTCGGCCAAACGGGCGAGACCGTCTTGAATGTAGATTCGAGCCGATCGTTCCGAGGCCCATCGCCCCATCAGACGCAACGAATCCATGTTAGGGCTTTTGCGCCAATACATGGTTGCACCGCCCCTGCGAAGGCTATACGGGCGAAAAGCCCAGCTCGTGAGGCGGAGCGCCGAAAGAGCCTCATCAAAAGATTTACGAAAGGAGTATTCGGAGACAGGCACCAAAGAAGCGTGCGATTTGACTGAGTGCTTCCACCGATAAAGTCGTTCACAAACCGGGGAAACTCGGAGAGTCACGGAGTCACTCACACCAGAGCGCTGAGAGGTTTTGGTAGCCCCAAGTGACAGCACCGCACAATCAAAAGAGGGTGAAACCTCCACTTGATTCGCAGTGAGGTGTAAAAGCTCACCGGTCCGCAAAACGCCATAAAAAGCCACCTCGAGAGCGAGTGCGAGGAAGGGCTTGTTGAGAAAAAGAAAATAACCGCAAAGGGCTTGCAGGACATCTTCTGGCAACGGGGGAGCTCGGTGCGGGATCTCTTTTCGCTGCCAAGTGCGAACGAGGCGCCAGGACAGCGCTAACTTGCCCCTAAGGCGGGGTCTGAGGTCCTGTAGCCCGGACAGCCCATCAGTGGCGAGTGAGAAGCTTTCCCCCTCCTCCCACAAGCATTCGATGTAGTCTGCAAAGATGGAGTCCAGTGGTTCTGGCTCATCCGGTATGCGGATGCGTTGTGTTTGTGCATACAAATAGAAAGCTGTGAGTGCTGCATCGTACCGCTGCCGTGTGCGTGTGGCGACTGTGTTGGCTCGCAAAGTTCCTAGCTGCTGCCGTTCCACTTTCCTTTCTTGCTTTGTTTTGGGCGCCAAAATGGTCACTTTGCCCATTTACGCTGTACGCGATGTCTCCGGCTTGGCCTGTCGGCCGGGTTGGTGTCGGTGGAGACATACGCAAGAAAAGGGTGGAGGCCGGCAGCTAGAAGTAGCGAGGACAGTCGGTACATGAGTGATTGCAGCTTGCGTGAACTGGAACGTCCACGATTGATTACGTGCAGACTCACCATGGAGTCAGTCAAGTGGACGAATCTCACACGACACTCTTTGCGCCTCAAAACTCGCCATCGCAGCGCCGTGTACACCGCACGCATCTCGTACCTGTTGATGTGGTCCGCCTCCCCGTCGGGCCATGGCCAACCAGTAATGGTTTTCCACGACCAGAGACGGGCCGGGATCGAGTTGCGGAAACGTTGAAAGTCACGGGGCTCCGTTCCGCTTTGAATCATGATGTCACTCCCTTTGCTAGAAAGTAAAGTCATTAACTTTGCAGCTAAAGCTTTGCCCGTGTCAGTGCCAGGACAGCACTGTTTCGAGCGTAGCGAATGCCAACTCAAAAGGGCATCAGAAAAGACAGGCTTGTCACCGTACAAAGTTGAAAGGAGTTCTTGCAAACTCGAGAGCATACAGAGCTGACGAGGTCTCAAAAGTTGTAAGAGAAGAAATCCCACGACGGCAACGCTCCATGCGTTTCCAAGGAGATTGAGCCGTACATCCTCGAAACGAAGCGCCTGAGATTTGGCTTCATTTTTGGGGAGACACCCAAGGGTGAACCCCACTGGAAAACCCATGGCTCGTTCCCGCTCGACCACCGATGGAGTCCTGCCCCCAAGTTTGGGGTGCCAGACGAGATTTTCAGGCCGATACTGGTAAGGTGGAAAACGGTGGCGGTCACTTCGCCACCTGGAGAGTGATTCAGGGTCACATTTGTGAATTCCGGCTGGCTGGTGCCTGGGTTCATGACTTGGCTCAGCAGTTGTAAAGGTTGCGAGCCGGCTCGCCTTCGGGTGGAGACTCCACCCAGGCTCAAGACATGATGAAGCGACATCCACTGGGATAGTGAACTTGACCTCGCCATGCCCCTGACGGTTCCCATCACGAGGTGGATGGAGTGCTACACCAGCTTCCTGAACTAGGGTCCAGTCAACCCAGTAAAATCGATCTCTTCTGCAAGGGGAGAGCTGAGAGGCGCAAATACGGTAAGGTATGACGTCAGCGTGGGTGGTCCACGACACTTTTTCCTGAACATCCATGCTGGAAAGACCTTCTTGGATCACATGTGTGGGACACCAACGAAAAGCCTCCTTCAACATTTCAACCACCGTTTTGATCAAGTGACAGGGGTGCGAGTTCTGAACTTCCTTGGTTGATTCCCGGTTTGTCTTACACGGAGGCCCCGCTCCGACTAAAACCAGGCGGGCAGAGGAGGCTTGGGCAGCCCACTCACGACACATGTCTGGCGTAATATCTTCAACGCGATCGACCTGCAACGATGATGGGAAATTGGTGGCAACTACCCTCTTTGCAGCAGGATCACACTCCACAGATACATGGAGCGACACACAGGCCCGGACAGCCTCAAGTGCCACTCGTAAGCTGGAAATGCCGTCAAAAAGCCCAATACACACCACGCCATGGTCGGGTACTTCGCGATTCAACTCCCCTCGAAAGTGTCCTTCCGCAACCTTTTGTCCGAGTTCTGTAACCTTCCCAGTGGCACACACTCCTCCTCCAAGCAGCGATGCATCAGAGGCAGTGGTAACGTCTGATACCTCGCTCCTAAAATCCAGGTGCGCAAGCAGAAGCAAGGCGAGGAAAACCAAAATTTCCGACTGCACTGCTCCTGGGATTGCTCGAACTGTAGGCCCAGGATCTTCAAAGGACTGAATAAATCCCCAGATGAAGTTCAGACACGACATCAGAGGACGACGGAACATGGAGAAGTATACCAGTCCTCCTCCAACAATCTGAATTTCCTTTTGCGAGCAACGTGCCCTCCTAAGCAAGGAGAGCGCCGCGCTCACATACTTCCCCAACTTCTCCCCTTTTGGACGACCTGTTCCCAGCTTTCCGTCGATGTCAGCTCCTTGCATTTCTGCAAACTCTTTTTGCTTGACTGACTTCTTAGTATTCAACGGGATCCCAGCTTGTTGATAAGCCTGAATGAGGGGCTGTAGGTCGGATGAAGGATGACCCTCGAGGACCTTGACCATTCCTGGGCTGATCTTTTCGAGCACGTCCAGATTGTCAAGATAAACTCGCCACTTGGGGTTAGATAGGGTCCAAGTCCTATCTCTCCGGATTTCACTCCACGGTCCCAGTCGGGAAGGGGAGCCCTGAGCCCGTTTTAGGAAGTTCCGGTGTAGATGCTGGGCTACACCCACGCTGTTCAAATACCCCATGGGCAGCACCTTGGCGCACAAGAAACATTCTTCCTGAACATGTGGCGGAACCAAATCAGCTGGGACAGGCTTGTTGAATGATAGAAAAGGCAACCAAACGGGCGGCAAACTGAAAATGTAGAACATGCACCGGATATCCTCAGAGCTCACGACGAGTTCTTCGTCAGGATGTAGTTGGAGGACACACATTTGGTGAAGAAGTGGGAGTGTGGCAACATCACCCACGACCGGCATGCTCACGGAATTCATCGGAATGAGGTTCATGATCAGCCTGTGAACTTCAACGCCGTCGACTTCTTCACCCTTTTCGACCCCAAACAGCCCGTTGTGAATGACATGACCCGAGGCACAAGCAAGGGCGGACTTGGGCAAAACAGAACATAGGTTGAATTCCACCATCCCTCGCGCCAGCTCGCCCCAATCCTCATCCGTAACCATGACCCTTGAGCTGCGAACGGCGTGTTGGTCCCAGTTAGGACGAAGATATCTCCTTGGGTCCGAGAGCAAGTCCAACACTCCACCGTCCGCGAGCTCTATTGCTGGGATGGCTCCAATGTGCCCGTAGGGCAGGGCAGGTTTGATGTTTTTCCAGCTGGTCCATTTGGCAGTCCTAACCTCCTCATTGGTGTAGCTGATGGTCTTTGTCCGAAGGAACTTTCCCCAATCGAATTTGCTGACATTGAAGCTGTGGGACAAGAAGGCGTCCACCCGACCGTCCAAATAGTCCAAAATACCCTGTTGAACACTGCTAGGCTTGAAACTCTGAAGAGGTGCTTGCTGCCCTGCATTCAAATAGTTCAAACCAACCAGTAGGAGGAAGAGCCACAACTTCTTTCCATCTTTCTTCTCACGCGCTGTTGTAATGTCTTGATTGTCGGGCAGGGGCAGAGGAAAGATACTGGCTCTCGCAGCTCTCTCCCCAACCATACAAGCTTCCTTCCCTTCGCAGAATTTTGACACTACGGAACTGAAGCCACAATCACATCCGCCCAACAATGTTTCCAGAATAACAGCGCTCAAACTCAGTGAATCACTGATAAAACCCTCTCCCATCGCACCGGGTGTCCTGGGCCCCACGTGCGGACCTTGATCCGAAACCTCTCCTGTGCCACACGTGGGGGCCTTTCCTAAGCCTGGGCTCAGGTCCTTGGGGGCTCCCAAGGATGGACCGATACCTGAGCCCATTTTTCCAGGCGATTTCACTGAGGCTTCACGGGGTCTGCACGGCTCACCATCTGAGCGTGTGCGTCCCCCTTCACGCCCCACTTCCGCTTCCCATCGCCCTTCTTTCCATCTCCCTTCTTGCCTTTCCAATCCTCGTTCCATTTCCATTTGCCCCCTTTTCCAAGTTCTCTCTGAACCCTGCTTTCCGTTCTGAACTCCCGAGCTGCGCCCTGGGCTTCGGCAATGCTGGCTATCATTTCCTGCTCTAACGGAACGAGCTCTAAATTCTGAGCGACTGCCCATGTGGATCCTCCGAGTACCAGCTCGATAGCTTTGACGCGCTGAATCATCAAGTCCAGGGCCCCCAACACATCCCGACGAAGCAACTTGTCCACAGCATATCCCAAGGTCAACAGTTCCCTCTTCTGTGCCGGAAGAAGACTCTTCATCATAACATGGAGACGCAAATAACGAAGGAGAACAGGCTTCATCTCTGTTGTACTCTCCTCTCCCACGTGTTGGACTAGCAAGCGGCTCATCTCGTCTAGAGCGTGTCGACATAGAATGCCGGGGATTTTCTTGGCCAAGCGTTTCACTCGGTGTCCTTCCTTGAAAGGGTGCTCTGAATCGGTGGAGTTGATGGTCCCGCCGCTGCTGCTGGAACTGATGGTGTTGTTGCTCTGGCTGCTGCTGCTTTCGTTGTGATGTCCCTTTCCGCTTCGGCGATCCTTCTTTGCCTTCTTTGATTTCTTTTTCTTCTTCCGCCGATTCCTCAGAAGGCTTCGGACACTGCACTTGGTGTCCAGTGGTGTTCCTTTGAAGCTGCGGTGGCCTGTTTTGAGATTTTCGCGGTCGGCTTCTCTGCTCTCTTTGTGAATAGCTGGCTCTCTCCTCTCTTGGGCAATGTCTCGTATATCCCTCTCCAAAGCGCCTTCCCCACCTAACTCGACTGGGGCTACGATCTTCTCTACATTCCATGCCCACGCTGCCCCAGTGTCCTCGCTGCGCACGGCTGTCCCGTGCAAAGCTCCTCGAGCGAGTGCGGTTTTGGGGCAGTTTGCGGGGTAAAGGTGCACGGACATCTCTGGGATGCTTCCGCTCATCACCACACTCTCGGCCCAGGCTTTCAACTCCTGACTGTCCGTGCCTTTGAGGAGGATTTGGGCGTGAGCCCCACCGCTTCCCAGCGTAATGCACTCCAAACGACCCACTGCGTTGCATGTTGAACCCCAGTATTCCCCAATAAACTGGTACGTAGCGCCAAAATCCCAAAAGCTGTAAGGTAACACACCAATCTGTAATGTACCTCCGCGAGCAAGCTTTCCTTTGTGATCAATGTATGTCCTCACCTTTCCTCCGCCTCCTAGTGAAGGAGACCGAGTGTTCACAACCCTCAATCCAGGCTTCTTCTTCACTCGCCCACGCGAGCTCATAAGCCTCAGAAGACAACACCAACAACCAAAACGACTCTCCCGCCCCGCCTCCTCACTCTAACTCGCTGCAGGAGCTGCTCCAATCGAAGCCTTCACCGCCCAAGTCGGCGTCGCGGCCACGCTTGATACCACAGCGCAAATCTTGCCAATCACGGCGACGGGAACCCTTGTTCTTCTTGCGCCGTTTGCGCGATGATGTACCGGGAGGGGGTCCAGGAGGCTCGACAGGCACACGATTCGCCGATGCAGGCACTCCAGTCGACACGGGCGCCCGTCTATCGCGAGGATGCGACCCTGAACTACTGGCTTTAGCCTGGACCTCATGCACTTTGTTTTCACCCCCTACAGTAAGGATCTGGGATAAGCTCTCGCCCGCTGGAGGTTCCAAACGAACAGGGGTGCCAACCGGTAGTGTACCACCAAAGTGCCTGAGATCTCTGAGTCGTGCCTCCGTATCGTAAAGAAGAGAAGCAATGTTTGACGAAGACTCAGAAGGGAGCCTCAAGCATACGCCCCGAATGCGATCCAAAGCACGACAGATGCTACAGGAGGCACGACCGTCCGGTGTTACTCTGAGCTCACAATCGAACTTGGAGCACGTACTACACACCTGAGAAGTCATATCTCGAACCAAAAGCCTGAAGAGCATCGATCTCGCAACGATGTCTTAAACTACGTTGAAACGATTCGTTATATATATATATACATGTACATATACATGTGTACATATATATATATACACATGTATGTGCATATATATATATATATGTATACATATACATATACATATACATGTACATAAACATATAGTACGAAGCCCAAGATCTAAAAAGTCCCCAATTGAATTTTTGCTTTTGGGTAAGGGATTCCTATACAGAAAATCAGGAACCAAGAAGAGTAGCCTCAGAACTACCTTGCAGAATACCCCGCCCGTATCTACATTACAGAATTTCATGTAGAATACCCCATATAGAACACCTTCCTAAATATAGGCTACAGAGTACCTTTTGTACATGACCTTGTGGAGTGCCCTACAGCATACCTTACAGAATGCCGCATAGAATACCATCTGGAATACCTTGTGCTGTAGTAGATTACCTTACAGAAGACCGCCTTTGTAATATACCCTCTGTAAAGGTATATAAACCTCATAGAATAGCCTCCTCTTAGTATACCGTTTAGACCATATAGACTATAGCATAAACAATTTTAAAAAAAACGGTTTTAACAATGAAAGTCAGCAGGAGCCCGCCGTGTAACAGCGTAGTATACAGAAGACATTAGACAATACTGCGTGATATTATCTTGGTTCGAACGGTGTTGTTTCGTCGTAAACAGGGAATACTAGGCAATACTTAGTATATTTATCTCGTTTTGAACGGTTTTGTGTTGTCGTAGATAAGGCATACTAGGTAATACTTAGTATCAAAGTATCTTGGTTTGAACGGAGATGTGTCGTCGTAGCGAGGGAATACTAGGCAATACTTTGCATCATTATCTTGGTTTGAACGGTTGTGGGATATAAGACTTGTGTTCGGAGCAGAGTCGGAATGCAGTCTAGAAAGCACAACAGAAGGCTTCGAGGTACGTTTCGAATATATATATATATATATATTCATATGTATGTATGTATGTATGTATGTATGTATGTATGTATGCATGTATGGATGGATGGATGTATGTATGTATGTATGTATGTCTGTAGGTGTATGTATGCATGTATGTATGTATGCATGCAGTAAGGATAGCTGCGTCTAGAGTATTTCCAGAGGCTCAGGCCTGCGATGAGTGCAACACGAGAATCCTTCATCAAGGACAGCGATGAAACGAGCCCGGCTGCCACCACCTTCAGGTTTGTCGGAGATGGATGCCTTCAAGCCCTAAGTAAGGCTCCTACGGAGTGCAGCAGCCGGCCAGACAAGCTACTCGTGACTCTCAAAGGCTGCTTGAAGACTCCAGGACCAAGCACATCTTCAACCGCGGAAACTGTAACCATAGCGATCTTGGTGATAGCAGTGGGATCCCTGTTTAAATAACTCCACGAAGGATGGGAATGGTAGGATCCTTCTTCTCGAGCCACAAGTCGGATCCAGATCAGAAGGAACCCATGAAGGAGTCACGGTAATACTCGCAATAGAAAGAGCCTTGCTGCCCTACCACAAGGACCCGTAAAGGAGCTACCCTGGTTCCTATGCAGGTCTGTGCGGCCCAGCGACGATATCCAACAGGTGACTGCCCCATCTGAGCCGCAGTCCGCACAACAACTACAATAACTACGGAGTCATCACTTCTGCGCAGCCATGTCGAAACCGTACACCCACAGCCTATGAAGCAGTGAAGTCAAAGAGGGTATGATCGAACAGGAAATCCTGCGACCAAGCCACAAGGTCTTCTCGTAGCCGAGGTAAGACAAAAGACACTGTGAGGAGGCGCTGCGTACAGATCCTGGCGGGAGTTGCTGGGTCACTCCCACGACGGGCAGCCTGGGTTAGGGTCTAGGGTTCAGCATTTCAGATTGAAAGTTTGAGGCTGTGGGTGTAGGGTTTAGGGTTTCAAGGAGATTGCTCCGGTTGCTGCTAAGGCGGGAACCAGCTGAAGCGGGCTAAGCCGGAATCTTGCGCCGGGCAGTGCGATGCATCTTGGGATAACCTCGGGTCCCTCCTTTTCCAGATACGAAAGCTGGGCTTCAGTTAGGCAGTTCTGAGTGTTCAGGAGCGCACTGACTCCCTGAAGGGCATGTCCTTGTCCGGAAGCTACCTCAGCGGTGTGCACCGCAGCATTGAAGAAGAAGTTCGCCTTGGCTCGGAGGCGCATGGAGAGATAAGATAATATTATACGATAATATGCGATGGCACATGATGGTCGTGATGTAGTCTGCAAGGAAAAAGCTCCCGAAATGCCGGCGGGGCGGCGGCGGTGCTTTTGATGTCCTTCGCCGTCTGGGTCTGCAACACGGCAGCCAGGATCCTGGGCACTCGCCCCAAGAATTCCGGATCCCGGAAAACCCCAACACATCCCAACACCTAAAAGAGTCAGGCTTACGGCTCAGGCTTCAAGGCAGTTTGGGAGTTAAGGGTTTAGGGCTTAGGGTAAACAAAAGACCATAAAGCCCCTGATATTCCGGCAAGCGTCGTGTTGGAGATGGTGGCAAAGGCCATCAGCTGGTTCAGGTAGATGCTGCTTTGCTTCAGGTCCCCAGCCTGAGCTCAGTAGCCCAGGCAAGGTTGGGTTCAGAGTTTAGGATGGCTTAAGCCTTAGGGCTTCAGAGCTCTCGGCTATTGGCTTTAATGATTTTAGTGCTTTAGATGGTTTCAGGCCAGATGGCTTTAGGGTTTTGGTCTTGCCAAGCGTCCTTCTTGGCTCCAAAGGCGCTCAGAGCTCCGATTGCGAAAAGGAAGGTGCGCTGAGAGAGGAACGTGATCCACTGCACCGCCTGCGTCGGTTCGCCCAAAGATCCTACATCCCCTAACCATGGGTCCCCTCAGGTGTTGTGTCAGGATTTACAGGGTTTCCTGGAAGTTTATGGAGCTCAATAATATCCCTGAGTTATGAATTTCTTGCTACGGATTACCACGGTCAAGCATATGTGCTGACTTTGAGAAACTCAAAGGTTTGCTGTTTCGGGTTTGGGCTTGCAGGTATCCACCGAGTTTTGCTAGACCACGCACGATATAGAAGCCATCGCATCAAGCTTCGGACTCGACGCTTTACATGATGTAGGACCAACGCCTTTATGTTCGGAGCGCATGATAAGAATGTCCTGCCTGCACACGACGGTCTTTGCTGCACGCAGTGCCTCGGCAGCATGCTGCAGGACTACATGCTGTCTTGCCACAAACATGTGGCAACCGCATCCTCTGGTCTCCCTGCTGATGCGGTGGTTCAGAACACAACTGGAGCTTCAAAGAGCGAGAAGTGCCGGCTAGGATTAAGACAGCTGGAAATTCGAAGGCACTCGCGGGGAGTCCGTAGGGGCTAGCGGGAGGTGACAGCCGCCGCGAGCAGCAGAAGGCTGCACGCAAGGCCGGACAAAGCTAGGCTGCGAGGCCGTGCAACTTTCTTTCTGGGAGCTGTGCCTACTTTGTCTGCGACATGATATGTCAACGTGAGGAACATCGCACCAAGTCATCAACGTGCTTGCGCATTTTCGAGAAGCCAGATGTGTCTAGAATCTAGAACCCCAGGCCGCAGCTCCAATGGCTAACATCATTTTCCAACACTGGAGTTCTGGAATTCTGAGCTCTGGCTGCACGCTTCCAAGCACGAGTTTCAGCCACTTGAGCTGGAAAAGATAAAGCAGCACTGTCAAGCCCCGCCAGAATTAAAATGCTGATGCCAAAGGTTCGGAAGGCCTTCAAGCTTCAGACAATCAACATGGGCCCCAAAGCTCGAAAGTCCAAGTCGGGCAAGGAGCACGAGAACACACTGCTGTCCGCCATGGCATGCTCATCGCTGCAGCTCGTGCAGCCTTGGCCCCGGTAGCCTTGCGATCTTGAACTCAAGGCTTCGGTGTTTTCCATCTGTGCTTATCTGTGCTTCAGATTCAGGGTCAAAGGTGGCATGGCAAAGCTCGCAAAACAATCCGAGTCAGAAGCACGACGCGGCTAATTCAAGCAACATAGTGCCTTACAGTTAGAATAGGGCTTCGGGGTATACTATGACAATAATGACAGGGAACCCTCTTCAGGCTTTAACATTTACCTCTACGAAGCGAAACCCAAAGCCAAAGTCGAACCACAACCCCTTGGAGCTAAGGCAGCCATCTGCGCACATTGCCCGGCGCACCCTTCCCTGGGATACATCGCCCCCAGGGCAGGCAGCCTCCAGGATGGATTTCGTGATTGCTCGGGTGTTGGGCCAAGCTCAGCGTCATAGGGTGCGACGCAGGTGCTCTACTTCTTGATGGGCGCGTTTTGCTCGGGTTCATGGCACACAGTCTCGTGCAAGATCAAAAATGTCTGATAAGAAATCCTTTCAGTCTTGAGGCTCCTCTGTCACTTGGATGCTTACAAGTACAGGTTTAAATGCCCTAATCCGTCAAACCCTTGTAGATCCCTTGCAGATACCGTATTGGAAGCGTCTAGATCCCTTGCTAAAACGACAAAGAAGCCTTTTTGCAGCTTCAAAGAGGCAGATCCCCTATAGTTTCCGCAAAGGGAAGCCATGTCTTCCCAGCCTCGTTGGGACAGTGGAAGCTGCGGTCGACGTCTTCCAACTCCACCATGAGCCCGGGCCTCAGTCAGACGAGTTTAAGTTTTTGGGCTTCGGGTCTAGGATTTAGGATTTGCCGTGGAATAGTGCGTAGGCGGTAGTATCTTAACTTGCGAGAAGGCTGTGTCTAGTGCATCGGGCTATGGCGAGAAGCTGCGAAGGCCTGTCAAAGCCTGTCTATAGAAGGTCATTTCTTTCTCTCCCCTCAGGCGGCCAAACTACCCAAACCCATTCCTTTTAGAGTTTAGGTCTAAACTCATGTCACAACGCTTTCTCTTCCTTCCGGGCAACAAGGCAGCAAGGCAGGGCAGGGCAAAGCAGGGCAGTAGGTGGGCGGCCTATGCCTTGAGTTCAGAGTTTGGGGGTTTGGATTTAGTTTTAGGGGTCGTTCGGGCTACTGGGCTCTTGCGCAGTGGTAGTAGGGGTATACTCCTGAATATGGCGGCTTCAAAACCCTAAACCCTAAACCCCTTGATTTTAGGTGTTGTTTTGATCGCCCCTTTCCCATAGAGTTCAGGGTCTAGGGTTGGGGGTTCACAGAGATTGTGTAGGGTTTGCGCACGACGTCTTGACCGAAAGTTGACTGCCAAACCTTGGAGACATCCTGAATGCTGCCTGCTGCTTACTCAACAGCCTGCTCGGACAACCAAATTCGGTGTTGGGCGTCCTGCTGCTGCTTGCTGCTGCTTGCCTGCTTCCTCCTTGTTGCCTGGATTGAAAACCCACTCAGAAAACTGATTTTGTCAAATGAATGCTCGGAAAATGCTGCTGCCTGGGTGTGAAAGACTCCGGAAAACAAAACGTTTTAAATGATCTTTCTTCCAGAGCTTCCCATGTAACGGATTTGTCCTCTTTCGCGGATCTCATGTCAACCCCTGCAGAGAGCAATCAGACGGAAGCCTTGTACCACCAATCCAACACGTTTGGTGAACTAAACCCAACACCCAAAACCCTGGGTCAACGTAGGACAGGGCACGGCATCTCCAGCTCGCTGGCCAGGCACTTGGAAGCCCCTTCGGGGCACTGACTGCACGGCCTGAAACGTCCCACAGAAAAGATCGCACAAATGTTGACAGCCGACCCGAAAGCTAGTTCGGAGATAGAGGCTTCTGCTGCGAAAGTTGTGCTTTCCGCGACTACTGGATGGTTTGCTGCAGAATCCACATTGCAGTGGATCTGGACCGTACTGTGGCCGCGTCGCAGGCTGCGAGGCTGTCATTCGGGGCTATAAGCTGCGGCGCAGCTGTGGGAGCTAGAGTATAGGTTTGCGGTGTTAATTAAGGCGTGGACTATGAACGATTGAGCAGCCAACCCAGGATTACAACAGCCTCCTTCCAAGAACACTGCGCCCTGATGAATGTCCCCATTCGACCTCGACACGGCAGGCCTCCTCGTCACGTTCAGAACCTGTGTGTCCCCTGGCCTGCATGCCTGGCAGTTCTCGGGTCTTGCTATGTAGAGGAAGTTCGCGGTACGGTTCGGTTCCAGGTCGAGCATCTGGCAATACCTGTCCCTGGTTAGTGTCTGCAAGAAGAGGAGCCATGGCCTAGCCTTGGTAGTCACTGCAAATGGCAAGGCCAAACTAGGTTGCCCAGTTTGCAATCGCACTTCACAAGATAGCCAAGAAGATTTCTCCTGCAAGTTCTGCACACCTACGAAATGAGAATACCATAGGGTTCCAAACACTGGACTGTACACTTCAGGCGAATGCAGGCCAGCAGTACCAGGCAGCCGAAATCATGCAAGTTTTGGAAAACCACCGACCCTGTGCCCAGAGGGCAAAGGAAGACGGCACTTGTGGCGGCGTTCGCATTGAAGGTGCCTGGATGGGAATGCTTGTCGTCTGGTCAATTCAAGGCTGAAAGCTGAAGGCAAAGCTCGCAATGCAGTCCAGTTGCAAGAAGAGGTACTCGTACAATTCATCACGTCTTCCTTGCTGCACCAGAACGAAAGGAGCTATTTTTCGCCTCGAATAACCCCTCCTTTGCCATCCAAATACCTCCGAGCTTCGAGAGAAAGGTTACGAGCTGAGATGTAGATGCCGGAGCTCGACTCCGTAGTCAGGTGAGTCGGGCCGAGCTTCAAGAGGCCTGCCGCGGCAGGTCGAACGGCTGTCCTACGGTCGCATTACCCATATTTAGGAATATACCATAATTCCCATAGTTTAGGGTCCTTAAGGTAATGCAGGATTTATATCATCAACAGTAGGGCCCGGGCTCTCGATTTAAGGATTTAAAGTCCAGCACACTGAAGTCTTGGAGCACAGGAAGCAAATCTTGAGTCCTGCGAGGAGGCTTTGGAGAGCAGCAGCGAGACGGAGACACAGAGAGAGAAAGAGAGAGACAGAGAGAGAGAGAGAGAGAGAGAGAGAGAGTGCGAGAGAGACTTTTTGACTTTGAGTTCGCAGAACCGTCCCCTGGTCCCATGCGCGGCGCTGGCGACACGCCAAATTCAAGAGAGAATTCGGCGCGGCTGACTAGAGCTGTGAAAAAACACATCGCCGTAAGCTAACATCCAGCCCAGTATGAGCCGAATGGGAACAAGGCACCGCTAACGAAGAACCATTGCAGCTGCGCGAAAGCTCAGCTTTCGGCAGAGCGGAGCTCAACGTGCTGATACCGGCATAACTCGACACACAATCACAAGTGCGCAGTAAGTCGGAAGCATAAGATATAACAGCTCTCACTCAGAATCCGGGAGTATGTAGGATGACATACTTCAGCCGGCTTGTCATCATCCGTACACTACCAGGTGTAGGTTCGGCTCCCCGACGGGGCCGACGGGCTCCCCGAAGGGGGCGAAATCCCCTGTGCACCCACGGGCGTCCTTCCCCGATTCGCTGACGTAGTCATTGACACCTGAGTGGAGACAGCAGATGCAGGGCGGGGGTGCGTCAGAAAGGTGCGATAATGCCCTGCTTGGGGTCGTGACCCCAGATGTAGAACCCCTGCCACAAGAGAGTAGGATGTCCATGCGACGTCATGAGCGCGGCCCTGAAAGATCGGAAAACAGGCCAGTTGCATGGCCTTGCACGGCAGCCTGATCCGATTTTTGCCTCTGGCTATGTTTGCATATCGGGCAAGACAGACAAGCAGACAGCGCGGTGTGCCAACTAGACCATGTGGCAGGCTTTGCTCATGCCATCCCACTAAAACAATCCTGTAGTGGCATGGTCACGTCTGGGGAGGGGGAGATCAATCCATGTGGTACCATAGACGAGCGGTCTGCGAGCCTCAATAGAGCCAGGCAGTGGTCTAGCCTCCCATCGACAAGCCAGGAAGGCAATCGGATGACGCTCAAGAAGATGAAGAATGAGCTCCATGCAGTCCTGCTGCCGATGTAAGTGCTGCCACTCACTGAGCAGCGAGCGCCACTCTGGTAAAGTTGAGAGCACCAAGCCTGCGGAGGGATCGGGCTGGGGCCACTCGTGCCAAAGCGAGGATAGCGATCGCTCTAAAGCATTGGCACCCCCGAGGGGGCCAGGTGGCAATCGAATGGCACAGATGTATGCCAGCAAGTACACAGCGGCATGCAGGTAACAGTGATTACCAGGATTGTGGAGAGCAAGTGATGCTAGCGGCGTAGGTAAGGCAAGCATGTGCAGCGAGCTGGGGCCCAGACAGTTTACCATCCCACCGCCTCCGAGATCTCCTTGATCAGCGGCGACCGCTCGGGGCGGGCCGGTTTGAGACGAAGGGACAAGAGCAGCAGGGCTGAGGATGCGTACCACTTCCTGAAGATTGCCATGGCCTCCGCCGCCTCTGGGTGCTACAACAACTCCAGGACAAAGTTTGCCGTCTCGGACACAGACTCCGGCTGAGCATTCCTGGCCGCCGAGAAACGCAAGATCAGCTCCTGCGATGTCAGGAGGACCTTGAGGCGGCGAGCATCCGCTAGGACCTGATCCTGAGTGAGCGTCCCCTCCTGTCGAGGAACAAGTTTTTGTTCCTCGGCATTCCAATCCAGGAAGTTGTACTCCAAGTCGCTCGTCAACCATCCCATCTCCTGCGCCTTGGCCTGGGCTCCTTTGTCACCTCCAAAAGTCAACACTCTGGTGACGATCTCCGCTGCCAAGTACTGGAGCAACACTTGCTTTAGGGACTTGGTAACCTGGCCTTTGCTGCGTTGCTCCCTCCAGTTCGCAGTCATCTCGTGTAGCAGCAGTACCATCAACTGAGGGCCGTGACCGTTGCGAAAGGTAAAGACCACTGTATGATCGCTCTGTAGGCATGCCAAATAATCGGATTGCTCAATCAGAGCCCTTGCGACCCGGTTCAGAAGAGCGTGATCATCCAAAGAATTGTCGGAGCGTCCTCTGCGCTCGTCCTTGCCCCGGCTCCCTGGCGCAGTGATTCGAATCAGCTGGGCGAGTCGGAACAGATGATGGGGGCCGGAACCTGATCCAGATGCGAGGATAGGGCAAGCTTGGATTCCGTAATCCGAGCCAGCCCCTGCAGCACCCGCGGTTGGGCTGCCATGGGGTCAGCGGAAGCCGGAGATTTGGCAAGAAGGCGCTGACTGCCGCGGAGAAGATACGCCAAAGGATCTTCTACGCCCAGGCG